CCCAACCCGACGCCCTCCCGAAATTAATACTAATAAACAAATGATGTCAATTCGAATAATAATAATAAACGAATGGTGTCAATTCAAATGATAAACAAATGATGTCAATTCGAATGATAAACAAATGATGTCAATTCGAATGATAAACAAATGATGATAACAATTCGAATAATAAACGAATGATGATAACAATTCGAATGATAAACGAATGATGTCAATTCGAATAATAATAATAAATGAATGATGTCAATTCGAATAATAATAATGAATGAACGAATGTCAATCCGAATACAGTGAACCCTCCCTAAGTGCACCCTCCATAAATGCACACCCTCCATAAATGCACGCTCACAAGAAATAGCACTATGTTCCCGAGGGGGGTGCACTTATAGAGGGTTCACTGTAGTTGAGAAATTCATCAAAGTTCTTTCTACCGATTTTTGAGCATGTAATAGGTCTTATTAGATTCTGATATATTTTATCAATCTTTGTGATGGCTTCGGAGAGGAAAGAAGTTTAGTTGACTAGAGGAGCAGAAAGTATTAAAATGTTAGTTATAAAAAGGAAAACAATGTATGTTTGATGGAACAATCATCAATAACTAATTTCATTACAACCCACTACTGATAGTAGGTACTTCAATATGATTATCCGGAATGTCAACAAAGGTATCATCAATTTTTTTCATAGGAGATAGTTTTTTAACACATATTTTCTCATTGTTTTTAAGTATATGTTTATCTCTTCTGTATTTTCATCATATGGAACATTTATTTTCCACAGTGTGATATCTTTGGCTTTTATGTCATCAGAAATGTTAACTTTTTTTTCAATGACTTCTTTTAAATGTCCAATGGACATTATTAGTGTCAATATCAATTGGGAAGACAGATGTGAGAGGATCTCCATATATAAGACACCAAAGCGTCTTAATCTCTTGACTTTTTTTATATTCTTTCTTTCTTCTGCGGCCTTCCTTTTTGGGTGGAGCTCTAATGGTTATTGAAGCACAAGTTAATGAAATAAACACGAAAAAGCAGTATACTATAATGCAAGTCACTTAGTCGCTGAACTTTTTGTACCATGATGCCAATTTTTCAAAATAGCTAGAGTGACGAGTGGTGGCGATAACTGCCACCAACATTCTTACGATAAACAATACTTATCCATACGAATCCTTTGTTTCTTTTTGTGGTTTTCGTTTTAATTTCTCTTTAGGCATTTTTTTAATTTTTAAATTTAAATAAATAAATAAAAATATATAAATATATACGAATTATATAATATTATTTTCTTGTTGTTGCTGTTGTAATTTATTAATTAATTAAATTAACAACTTACAAGATCCAGTTATTAAGACTGCCATAACAAGACCATAAACTGCAAGGATACCTGACATAATTACTGGTAAAAGTGTCTAGAAAAAAAAACTTGTAAGTTATCATAATTCATTTGACAATTATATTAATATTTAATATACTTAAAAAATATATATATACCTTCATAATAAGTTCTGGTTTAAAAGTTGCTGCTCCTGCAATACCGATTCCAGATTTTGCAGTGCCATAAGCTGCACCCATTGCTTTATACATGTAAATGGCGAAGTTATTTATTTTAATTTAATATTAATTAACAAATAAATGTAATGGTTTATTTTATAAAAGCAAAAACTATATACTCACAACTAAAGATCATCTAAAGCAACAATTTATATCAAAATAAGTTGGTTAATTGCTCTTTCTTTTTTTGATTTAAATTCATTTTTAAAACTGAAACAACTTACGGCTGAAGCAATTCCTGCCGA